GTACAAAGCTATTCTCGACTCTTGTTCGGTGGTCGTGTTTGATCGACAGGGGTTTATGGTCATTCTTTGTGTACTCTGGACAAACTGTTGAGGAGATTGTGATGCATATCGTCATGGTTGAGATTATTATTCAGATGACTAACAAAATTATCGAGTGTTATCATATTTTGTTATGTTTGATGTTTTCCTTTTCGACCTCAGTGGCAGGTCGAAGAATTTGAGCACAAGTCGTCATATAAAACCAGGAAAAGGAGGTCGAATACATTTGATTCTTTATCTTGTTCGATATCATTATACACATTATGGGACTAACAAAAACGATCGATTACTATCATGTCTTGTTTTGCTCGATGTGTTTCTGTTTGACCTCAATGGCAGGTCGAAGAAAAAAAATCCACCATGACTAAGGCCTCCGGGCTGGGTGGTCGCTTGTTTAGAACACCCCCTGGGGTGGGCAGGTTGGTCGCCTGTTTAGAACATTCCTCGTGGTGGGCAAGTGCCTGAAGAAAAAAAAATCCACCATGACTAAGGCCTCTGGGCTGGGTGGTCGCTTGTTTCGATAGGCCTCCTCGGGGTCGGCAAGTGCCTGAAGACAAACTCCACCATGACTAAGGCCTCCGGGCTGGGTGGTCGCTTGTTTAGTACACCCCTTGGGATGGGCAGGCTGGCCCCCTGTTTCGTACATCCCTCAGATTGGGTGGGCAAGTGCCTGAAGAAAAAAATCCACCATGACTAAGGCCTCCGGGCTGGGTGGTCGCTTGTTTCGATAGGCCCCCTCGGGGTCGGCAAGTGCCTGAAGACAAATTCCACCACGACGAAGGCCTCCGGGCTGGGTGGTCGCTTGTTTAGTACACCCCTTGGAATGGGCATGTTGACCTCCTGTTTCGTACATCCCTCGGATTGGGTGGGCAAGTGCAAAGACATAGATGACTCGAGTAGACCTTGGAGGCAGGTCGATGTTTTCCTCTTGCCTCTATTTGGTTTGTTATCATTGTATATTTGTTCCTAACCCAGTGGCAGGTTGAGGGAAGACAAAATCCACCATGACTAAGGCCTCCAGGTTGGGTGGTCGATCCTAGTGTTGGGTCGTGAAGACACGGATAGTTCGAGCAGACCTTGGAGGCAGGTCGAGGATTTCTATTCGGTTCTATTTGGTGTGGTATTATTGTATATTTGTTCCTAACCCCGTGGCAGGTTGAGGGAAGACAAAATCCACCATGACTAAGGCCTCCGGGCTGGGTGGTCGATCCTAGTGTTGGGTCGTGAAGACACGGATAGCTCGAGCAGGTTAACGGATTTATTTGATTTGGTTTTGTGCTATTTGTGCTTTTGACCTCAGTGGCAGGTCGATCGAACTCGCTACGGATAGCTCGAGCAGGTTAACGGATTTATTTGATTTGGTTTTGTGCTATTTGTGCTTCTGACGTCAGTGGCAGGTCGATCAAACT